AGACACTCTCCTCATAATGTCTGGCTGTGGGTCTCTGCACCTGCTCCCTTCAGCTGCCAGAGGAAGTCTTTTCGGTGACAACTGGACAAGGCATCCGTGTATGAGTATAGTAGAATCGCATTAGGAATCCTTTTTATTGCTTTCTTTCCTTCTGCCAGTCCTGTTGGTTCTACCCTAGGCCTCTAGACTAGCCAGTCTCTGTTCGTGGCCATCCAGAGCATGGCTCCCTCTTGTGACCTGGGCCTCAAGTTAAACCAAACTTTGATTGACCACTCCCACCATTCTATGCTATGGTTGCCCCAGCACATCACGCAGATCAGACAGGTCGAGGGTTTATGGCTGGGTTGGTGTCCTGGTTTCTCTTTCTGTAGCCTGTGGAGTACCTTCCCACACCAAAGAGACCAGAACGTAGGGGTGAAGGCTCCATGCAGGTACCAGCACAACCTCTCTACTCTTTGGAAGCTCTTCCACAATTTTACCTCAGAATTGTGTCACCAGGCCACTCTGCCAGAAGAGGTCTCATCCTGACAGTGGAGGAAGGGCTGCAGGCAAGAAAAGGGCTCTTAGGGCGAGAGCTCCTGACAGAGATGGTGCTGGCTCAGTCCCACCCTCTGTGGATGGAGACAGTTCTGAGGAGTTCCCTCTTTGTTACAGAGCCCCGGGGATCACTCAGCCCTTATGGTTTCTCTTGCCATGGCTTATATCTGATTGAGCTTATGATTCTCTGACTTACCACAGAAGAAAGTGTTGGCTTTTCTTCTGCCTTTCCTCTACTCTTCCATGAAAGGAAATTCCTACTGAAGTACTCTTGCTTTTAGTTTTTAAGACATTTATTTTTTACAAAAGATTTATGTTTTCTAATAATCTTTGCACAGTCACCAAATGTCTAAAATTCAACTCAAATAAAAGAAGGCAGTCTGTTCCTGTTCCATTAGGTTTTTCCTTTGGGTAATTTTGTAACAAGACATTACTAACCTCAGGACACTTATGCATGTTCTTCTCTTCCTTCCAAGCCTATGCTGCTGCTCTTGCTTATGTAGGTCATATTGGTAGCTGCTTCATTAATACCAGTTTCTCACAGGAAACGCTGGTCTTCCATCCATCCCATTTCTCAGATATAAAGATCTGAATCAGGAGTTGCAGTGTGTTGGAGGTGTGGCTTTCAGTGATACAATGGGTGTGCAAAGCCCTGGGTTTAGCTCCGAGCTCCCCTCAACACACGCAAACACATGCACTCATGCCCCCACACACAAAGGGAATCACTTGTATTCTAAAAGACTCTTAAGTATTGGTAAGGTTTCTGAAAGGCATTCCATGTATCCTAAGAGAAAGCACAAACCATAACTAGAATATCTGTGGTGGGCCAGGTGAGAGCAGCGCACTCCTGGCCAGCATGGGGAAGAGGAACCATTTGAGAGGGATATTGCTCAGGGAATGCTGTTTCCTTAGTAGTTTTGAAGGGGTGTGTGTGTGTGTGTGTGTGTGTGTGTGTGTGTGTGTGTGTTTTGCCAATGCTCTTGTACATACTTAATTTACTTGTAAAAAAATGCAGTCAACACTCTGGAGGCTGAAGCAAGAAGATCATGAGTTCAGAGAGAACCAACTTGGGCTGGTCTTTGCAAATTTCACTTTCCCAGCTGTTAAGTTCTACCCACCAAAGATCATTTTCCTCTCCTCTGATTCAGGTCTCCTAGCATGTTTCTTGTTAAAGTCCTCAAATGTCTGTGCAGGTGAACCATTTTAAGACTGTGATGAAAATCAGAGCTTACAACTATATGTATAATTCCGTTACAGAATTTCTCTTCTTGGGCTAGGGGTATACATAGTCAAGCACATACCTAACATATATGATGTCATGTACTTGTTCCCTAGCAACACACACACACAGACAGACACATACACACTTAGTAAGAGCAATGAAGAAGGGAAAGAGAAAATAATACTAAGCAAAAGGTTTCTCTGTTACCTCCTTACCTCTCACTTTGTGTTTTCATTTTCTCAAGTATGTTATCGAGAATTTGTGCAAATGTAGTCTTAATGTGTTATTTTCCTCTGTTCTCATAAAATGAGTTGAAACTTGAGACTGAGGGTGTATACATACATACATACATACATATATATATATATACACACACACACATACATATATATCACAGTTTGCTGTAAGAGATTGCAGTAGAAACTAAATGAGGTTTAATATATATATCCTAGTCTGTAGTAAGAGATTGCAGTAGAAACTAAGTTTCAATTCTGGAAATCCTAAAAATATGTGCTTTAATGATGAGATCTAGAGATAAATTCAGAGTATTTAAAGTTTGTTGGAATTGTTGATGAAATGTTTCCAGTTCATGTCAGTAGTGAACCCTGATGCATCCACCAGTCCTTTCCCCTTCCTCACAGTTTGACTTCTAGCCTGCGTGTCGACAGTTAAGTGACTTCTGTGTGTCAGCTGTCATGGTTAACACTGCAGTGACCATGGATGTGCAGATATGTCTACATGGCCCTGTGTTTAGCTTTCTAGATGTATATTAGGAATAAGGTGTAAATTTTATGTTATATGTGGTTTACCATTAAAATTGACTGCCTAACCAATATGAAACCAGTAAGAAGTTTGTAGGGTTAGGAGACAGTCATATCATTTTAAGGTAATAAGATACTTTAGACAAATATATGCCCTGCAACTCCTGTTTCTTATGTTCTTACCTAAGCAATCTTACTACAATCCAAAAACACCAAATAAATAAACAGAGGGCCTTGTGAGGTGGGGAAGGGAAAGAGAAGCCTGTGCCTGCATGATAGTTCCATCTCACTAACCCCTCTTTTATTGACAGTAGATTTTTTTTCCTCACATAATGTAACCTAATTATGGATTCCTCTCCCTCTACTCTTCCCAGTTCCTCACCACCTCCCCTCCCATTTAAATTCATTCCTTTTCTGTCTCTCATTAGAAAACAAATAGACTTCTAAGGGATAATAATAAAACACAGCAAAGTAAAATACAATATGATAAAATAAAAACTGTCACGTTGGAGTTGGCCCCTTTTTTAAGTTAAAAATTCCCCACTCTGGAATTTATGGCAGAAAGAAAGCACTGCCTCTGATTCCTCCTCTGCTGGAGACTGAAAGCTTTGCATTCTTTTGTTGAAGACGGTTTAGTTCCCTGTCTTCAGCCAGCTGTGCTCCTTAGCTGTCAGCGGTCAGCTGCGCGTACTGTTGCAAGTGCATTCTAAATTGGCCGGGTCACTGTTGAGACCGTTGTCACAATTCGCAGTGCTGCAAGTCTGCTGTGTCCCCACAAGACGGTAAACAGGGTGGGTGTAGTGAGGGGCTGCGGGCAGGCCTGCTTTTCGCCTCACCCGGCTCCCGCACGGCTAGCTTAGTCCCAGAAATAACAATACACAAATTGTATTCATTTAAGCACTGCCTGGCCCATTATCTCTAGAGAGTTAGTTACTGACTAACTCTCATATCTTGATATTAACCCATTTCTAATAATCTGTGTAGCACCACGAGGTGGTGGCTTACCGGAAAAGATTCAGCATGTCTGACCTGGTGGCTGGCTCCATGGCATCTCCTCATTGCCCTCTTCCCAGCATTCTGTTCTGTTTTCTCTGCCTACCTAATTTTCTGTCCTATCAAGGGGCCAAGGCAGTCTCTTTATTGACCAATGAAAATAACACAATAGACAGATAACCCTCCTCCATCAGGTGGGGATGAGGCTGAGGAACATGACACATGAGCAGACCTGGGCTGTTTCATCTGAGAAAACAAAACAGCAAGGACGGAAGTGTCACCCGGGTCTTCTGATGTCTGAGCGACCAGTGTGTGACAGGAGCTCACTTGGCACATGAGTACAAGTGACAGGACAAAGCTGAGCCTCTTGTCCCCGCCCCAGGAAGACCTTCTGTAAAGAAAGGTAGCTCCCTTTCTACCTGCAGAGTTAGATGAGAATGCTTTCTTGGTGGTCTCTTGGACAGTGTTTGAAGCCCTAGGGCTTTAAGGAATCCAGTTTAGAAACTACTAATCAATTCCTTAACTACAAGATTTTTTTTTTAATTAGTTATTGTAAATGTTTTTTGCTGTAATTGTTCAATATAAAAAAATTAGCCATCAAAGGATTCTGAGCAGCAAAAAGGTACAATTTGTTTGTGTTTAGAAAGTCACTGTGCTGACAGTACAGTCACCATCAGGTTCCCAGAAGCTCAGCCATTGGGGCTGTAGCACCCCTCAGTCCCCTTTTTTATGGAGTAGGCAAAAAAAAAAAAATGGCTAGAGACTAAGTATCAAAGATAGGGAAACTTAAACATCTCTGTTGAAACAATTTTGGGATCAGTGTTGGGGAGAGGAGAGTCTGAATTAATTCTCAGCCCCTTTGCTGTCGGTAGAGATGGGGCGAGCTGCGGGTTTGGTGGGAACTGTCTTGCGCTTAGCCTCAGTGGTTAGCTGACTTCAGGTGCATCTGCACTAAGTGCTGTGATGGCCAGCAGCTGTAAACCTGGAACTAGAACTGAGGGCAATCTGAGCTAAAGAAACGACCTCGGGAGACAGGCAAAGCCATTGGAGCCCGGGAGCAGGTCATTCAGGTAGAAGACTTCAGGGAAGCATCAGATGAAGGGAAGGCGTCATCTGCCCTCCCATCCAGTTTCTGAGCAGTTTAAATGTCTGTGATTATCAGTACAAACATAAACGTGAATAGAAGAGAAATATTTAAAATGTCCTGTCCTTGACACTGATACTATTCATAATAAAATTATGATAAAGATTTCATTAAAATAATGAAGTGTTTTTATAGTCAAAAATATTTGGGGTCTTTATGTTACTTGCTTCGTATTTATTTGGTCTGGACATGTTTTATGTTTAAGAACTAACTGTGTTGGCCTTGACTTTGACCAGAATAAATTTATTATATGACTTACTGAAAATAATTTCCCATTTCAATAAATACCATACTTCTTAAAATGTTAGAGCTTACGCTCTCCTTCTGTATTTCTTTGCCTAAGGAAATGCCACATCACCCCAAGTACAACGACCGTCTTTCATGGACTACTTTGATAAGCAGGACTTCAAGAACAAAAGTCATGAGAACTGCAATCAGAATGTGCGTGAGCCCTGCCCTGTGTCACAGAGTGTGTTTCCTGATGACTGGAGAGTCCCTCAAGATGGAGACTTTGACTTTGTAAGTACATTTTCTTTCTTCTTTCTAGATTTTTCTTATCACATTGAGAGACATAGTTCATAAATATTAACTGTATGTCTAAATTATAGAGTGTGTATGAATGTGTAGCCATAGCTATGGCTTGAATTGTAGCTTACTTATAGAGCTGTACTTAACAGCAAAATGTAAATATTGCTAAATAAATCAACTCAAAATAAGAGAAACATGTAGGCCCTCAAATACTGTACATGATAACCATTTCAGTTATCAAAATAAACCATGTAGAGTCAAATATACTCTAACATGATGTGTACATGGACTCTATATCTCATGGCCTAGACACTGAAAACTAACTGATGTGTTAACTCTACTTGGTTTCTGTATTAAAACTGTGTCTGGTGACACGGAGCTTCAATGTGAATCTGTGTCTGGTGACACGGAGCTTCAGTGTGTTCTGTGTCTGGTGACACGGAGCCTCAATGTGTTCTGTGTCTGGTGACATAGAGCTTCAGTGTGAATCTGTGTCTGGTGAGACTCAGCCTCAGAGTGAATCTGTGTCTGGTGACACGGAGCTTCAGTGTGAAACTCTGTCTTACTGTGTATTTTTTTTTCATTTTCTTTATTTCTTCTACTTGGTTCACTATTATTTGTTTCTTTAAAGAATGCAAAGAATACAGATAAATCATTTTAATGCATTTGTTTCCAGAATTTGAAAGACTAAGTTCTCATGATGAATTCTTTAATGAAAAAGAAATTGCAGTAGAATTTTGCTTCAGCAAGTTTAAATGCTTTGTTACTTCTACAAAGTGTTCAGGAATGGTTATTCTCCAAGTAAAATTATAATCATTTATAATTATATTTTTAGTAGACATAATACTTATAAGCAAATAAAATATAAATGATAGATATCTTAAAATTTTAAGTGATTTAAGTAGTATTCACCCATTTTTTAAATGTCATGATAAATGATTTGGGATTATAATTATTTTAAAGTAGTGCCTTTTAGAATCACTTTTATTTTTGAGTATGTATGTGTGTATATGTGTTGTATATATAGGTGTGGGTTTAGAAACCAGAAGGCAGTAATTGGTTCTCACTTCCCACATGTGACTTTCGGGGTTTGTACTTGGATCACTGGACCCTTACCCACCAGGGCCTTACCCCCTGAGCCCTTACCCCCTGGGCCCTTACCCTCTGGGCCCTTAGCCCCTGGGCCCTTACCC